GTACGTACCTCTTGATAGTGAAGGCGTTGTTCTTTTTTCAAACGTGCAAGAAAACCATTGCAATACCGTACATASAGACTTGTGTACGAAGTACGGTACGTACCCWATCAATTATTACTGTTGTGTTCCAGAGAAGGCAGGATAATGAYAATAGTACTATCATATGGTGTTATGTAGTGAGTCATCGAATGACCATTAAACCCCATTTTCTAAAATCTATCAACGAATTACTGTAGTCACGGACTACAAGAAATATTTTCCGTTCGTTGTCTGTTGYATATACCTACACGAAACCCGACTTCTCGCAAGAAACAATACTAACATAATTGGCGGCTTAATTGTAAATCATGTKAGGTCCAACAATTATCCCGTCGTTAAATCCTTTTTAAGCTAAATATGCAGAAGCACAAAATTTGACAGAGACCATGGTAGAGAAACAAATATGATTCGTGTTTAGGAAGACTAGGAAGTTTCGTGACCGAAAGCCGAGGCTTGCAATGAAGCACTCGAGCGGCGCAGGAACGATGCCTGAGTCTTATGGTACGAAAATCGATCCAACACTTAAAGACCAAGCGCCTTCCCATGCGGTTTTTCGAACTTTTCGATGTCCTAGCAGACAAATTAGTTACGGACTGAACTACCGTTACATGCAACAATCTGGATTAATAGTCTTTCTCATTGATGGCCTCCATCGAAGCATCATTTAACTGTAGAAAGCGGACCGTGGACTAATTTATTTAGCGGTTGCTCTCTCCTAGAGAACCCCCTAAGGTGAGTCCCTCTCTGAGATTTATGCAATATGTCTATGGAAATGCTCTCGCGTCATCTGGCTAGTACCCCATCGTAGTATTGTCATCATGGCGACTGCCTTCTCTCTCTTAGATGTCACAGATATTGCGGGCGCGGAGCGATAGATTTAAGAAGATACAATTCATTGCATCGACGAATAAATCCTCTACGATATGGCCAACAAATGTCTTTCGAATAAACAAATAGACATGCCCTTGATGGCAAGGAACCGCAACCCCTTGCTTGGGCACATCACGGCCGGTGCCGCTTGTCGAGACAACCATCTAACCGAGTTCTTTTTTATTATACAAATCCCACCTGTATCATGACCCTCCACCTTCCATCATTAGGCGTTGTAGCCCAGAAAAGTATCAAGACAAAGTATCGCGACTGAAAAACCCGAAAATTGTCGGGACGAGACTAAACCCAACCGAGCCACGCACAGAAACAAACAATACCTTCCCACATACTACGTTCGAGATCTCCTTCTCGCATAAAATCCAAAAGCGTCCCGCCGGCACACAAACCCTTATGAAAGTCGCGTTGTAAACCCACTCACTCGCATACAACACCCGACGTCGCTGCCCGCATTGCTGTTTATCGTCCACTTTTGGAATAACTTGTACAAATATCCACACGTTGTTCCAAGAAAATTCAAATCCCAATTCGAGGTACTGTCAGGATGGAAGCCAACGGACTGACTAGATGCAGTTTGCCATACTCTTTCGAGAGTCCTGTAGTGTGTGACGAAATGATTACCGACGACGGGGCATCGGCATCGACTCCTCCTAGCCGGGATCCTGCTGCAATGACCACCGACGCGATGCCACCGGCTCCGATAAGTCCGTGCGGCAGCCCCAAAAGATATTCACCGTCCTTTGTCAGCTCCCTCAACGACCAGGTGGCGAGGTATTGTTCCAACGAGTGTGTGCAAAGACGCTGCGGCACGGCCGCCATGCGCACAGTCTGCAACAACGTTGCCGTGGCACAGACCAGGGTTCGGCAGATCGAAGACCACTTGGTGGCAGGCCAGCAACAAGGCCATGGATCGCCACCCTCTCTTCGAGATCAACTCTTCGCGGAGAAAATTCGATTGATCGACGCATTGGTCGTGATGGGGTGGGAACATTACCGATGCTTCCTAGAAGAATCGGAATGCTTTGAAAAAGCCGAGGCGGCGGTGAGACACATTTACGAGGAAGCCCTGGAGCTTTCCGTCGAGCTCTTTTGCTCGGCGCCACCCGCAACTGGCACCAGCATCGCTAACAACGGCAGGCTGATGATGCTTCTTCTCACCCTTGACTTTGACGAGTACTGCGAAAGTCTGCTGGGGTATCAGTTGGCCCGCGAGTCCACTTCGGCGTCACTGACCGCCGATTCGAACGGCGCGGATGCTGCCGCCGGGGTGAGAGGCGCCGACGGGCGACTGGCAGAGATCCTCAAGCCTGCCGCACAAGGGAACGCCTACCTCCAGCAGGTGCACGAATTGTGGAAGACCGGCGCCTTCGAGCGATTCGATGTTGCGGCAAGCCATGAGGAAGAAGAACACCTGGCAAAAATCCACGCGGCGGGCCTGTGTCTGGTCCTCTTTCGAAAACTGGAGTACAAACAGACCGACCTCAAGGCAACCGAACGCCAGTTCCGGTATCTGTTTGATGAATATCTTCCGAGACAACTCGCACAGCCATCGATGAACAATATTATCGCGACAAAGCACGCTCGCATTCTCTTCCAAGACGGGACTCCTACCGTGTACTGGTCGCTCTTGGCCGATTCGTACCGGAAAGAATGGGCCGAACACCTCGAGGGATATGGGAGCGGAGCTGCTGAGGAATTGTTCGACATGGATATGGACGAGGACGAGGATGACGAGGACGATGGATTATAAACAAAATTTGCTTTGTTTTCAGATGGAAGAAGCAAAAGATCATGACGTCAAATACTTCATTACAATAAATGGTAGCAGAAAGGGTTTTCTATACCATGACTGGAGAAAGGAGCACCTTGAAACTGGGGGTAGCGGCTCAAAAACGTGAGCTGATTCACCGTTTTCAAAGTAAACGGACTAGGATGCTACTTGATGGGAAATAAGTGCAAATCAGCTATGCATGGCTGTTCAAATTAGAATTGTAAGATTAATTTAAAATTATGTTTCAAGTTTTACAAAGCAGTGTCGAAGAATCGTCGAATCGTAGCATAGCATCCGAAGAGAAGTTTGAACGTCATGACTTTCATACGAAGCCTTCAATCTCTAATACTTGCTGTTAGGAAGAACCAAGTACATTAACGAAGAAAACGCCAATGCAAGAGATGCAATGACAGAAGTGTTCATCTTAACGACGATGGCAGTTTACAAATGTCAGCTCATCTAGAACAACCATAAAAGAAAATACTACTTACGGACATTGTCTACGAAACTTCGGTACTTCGAAGTCTTTTCTAATCATAATTTTTTCAAAAAATATTTTTTCATTAAAAGTCGACAAAAATTTCATTTCGGGTCTTGCCGTCGCCCGTTTGAATGAACGTCACTGTTTCTGTCGGAGATGGATGACGGTTGATGGTTGAAGGCGATGTTAGGTATGAAAGATGGAACCGATCATCGTGCTTTGCATCTAACGAAAGAACCATAGGACGTCGACACCTATCCGAACACAAACCCCTAGAAAAACAAAGTCATTCGGAATAATGGTCAGCAGCAGAATAGAGCGCCTTTTTCTTGTTGCGGCGGCACTTGCGGCTCCGACCGCCATTGAAGCCCTCGCGGGCGCCCCACAGAAGGAATTCACGGGTGCCGGTATCGGTCGCCTGAATATGGACGAATTGGCCGGAAAGGCGGGAACATGGAACTGCCATTACGATATGATCTTGGTAGAACGCCTCCAGAAACAAAAGGGTCCGCAGGATGTCGAAGACGACGGACTCTTCGTTCCTGAATCGGATATGCCTCGTTTCCATCTTTGCAGAGTTTTGAGCAAAGGAAATGGACGAGAAGAAGAGAACGGCATGGTGGCACCCGACATCAACGGTCTGCAGGTCGGTGACTTGGTGGTTGCCAAGAACCCCTGGGGAATTGGTCCCAAGGACGAAGAGTTGTCCGATGGTACAAAATTGAGCTTTATGAGGGAGATCGATATCGCCGCCAAGGTCACGGGTGAACTAAATTAATAGCGAAGTGATAACAACTGCCGAAGTTTTTGACTGGAACAAAAATGCTTGGAATTTGCTTTTTCCGCCACAGGCATGATGTTCTCAAACAAAACTGCACAAGGAATCAACGGTCAAGCAGAGAATTTGACTCATTGACTTCGGGAACGTGCCTCGGACACTCTATTTGAGGGTCCTCGCGTCCAAGGTATTCGTTAAGTAAAGGAATACGACGACCTTTTATGTCCTACGTAGGCAATAGAAATGTTATAAGGAGACAACTCTATTTTTTTAACTCGTCAGATCACTCTGTGTCACACAACAATTGTTGTATCGGCAGATGGAAACTAATGAATAAAGAGGGATAGATATTTACAGTATTTGATATCGAAAAACTATCGTTAAGCAGTGACAACCGTTCATGAAAGGCATTTAATTGTCTGGTTCATTGGTTAGTTTCACTCGTTAGCATCCCCGGCCCAATTCTTCACATAGAGCATTGCGTCGTTCTTCCTTTGACATTTGAAGATTCTTTTGCTTCTCCCTTTCCTTGGCCAAACGATCCCTGAAGTCCGTTGGGTTGGAGTTTTTCTTCTGCAATTCGGCCTTTCTTCTCAATCGTTCGGCTGCGGCGTCCGCCTATGGTTTTAGTCGGTCAAATCAGAGGGAAATTAAGCAAGGTGTGAGCAGGTTTCGAACAAATATCAAACAAAGAAGAATGTCACCAGATTGGGATAGAGATGTCGTTGTGGAAAAACAAAACGGAACTCAGCAAACCTGATGTGGGCATTCCGCCTTCTCAGGCGGCCCCAGTACTATATCCCTTCTTGCGCAGAGGCAAGAGCAAAGAAGACGAAGTGATTAAAGCCCCGCTCTCCTTTGCGATGTCGAGTCACGGGAATAAATAATCGATCGATGGACAGATGGARAGAAGGATCAAACGACCGSAGCAKACACAACGGCAAAAAKACATCCGACGYGGCTTCCCGGTGAAATATTTCCTGGWATTGGGYTTSTTTTTCGTTCTACTTACTTCTGCTTTTCGCTGCTCTTCTTCGGAGGGCATTGCCAGGTCATCCGCAAGATCTTCCGCCCCCGCAATGAGTGGGAAGGAGGTCACCGCTATTGTTGAGAAGGCGGCGTTCAAAAAGTCACGGCGGTCGGCTTGAAGAGCAGAGGAACAACCGRCCTTCCGCGTTGTGGTTGTGAACGCCTCGGCCTGCAGCACTGCAGCACAAACGAGCAAAACAAAGGCAAACGTGGTGGTGGATGGCAACATTGTTATGATTTGTTATTTATTCTCAACACAGGATGACCAGATACAATAATGATAGTCGAATCCAATTATGATTAGAGAGTTGTCAACGCAACTAAATTCGTGTCATGATTGTGTTGGTACGAGTACGAGTACTACCTTGACATGATTTTGGATCCGCTTTGCTTGTTTTTCTGTAGCATCATGGTATGAACATCGTACTTAAAAATGTTTCTAGTACGAATATCTTGCACGGTTGGTGACCAATTTTCAGGCTTTTTGTGTGGCGTCGGGAATGACGCACGCAGAAGCTCGCCAGGGATCAGAGAGATTATCGAATGCGCGCATGGAAAGAGTCAAATGCGCTCGAAAGATTCATTGGAGATGTGCGTTGATTCTTCATTCGATCTTTAAGTGCGTCTTTTACCCCCATTTCAACCTTGTTGACTAGGACCCCTTTTCGGTTTTGTGAGTGCGTTCGTACTCGTACTATTGGGATCCAAGAAATCGTAGCTACATAACGAGCACGACTAAGCGCGAACTGTAAGTACGTACCAGTACCGTAGGAGAGTACGTACTCGTAACAGTATCGGCCGAGAACCGCATCGAAAATTTCTTTGTGATAAGGGTTCGAGCTATGGGATGGTGATTGATATCAATAATTGATACTCAAGGCTACGGAAAGACTTCTAAACGTGGAGCACCTGTTCGTCGAAATCACTCTATGCTGTATTGGTATGGATGAAAGAAAGGGATGGGAGACACGGTAGCGTCTTCGGGAAGAACCATTGCCACAGTGTACTTCTACTAACGTAGTGACACTAGAAGTTGACGCATGCACAACCATGTAATTATAGTCCATCAATCTTATTTCTCTAATAGAGTAAGCTTATATACTACAKTGAATCTTATTGTTTTATGGCCATAGGWGGAKTAACCAGAGCTGTGTGCATAATCTTTTGTGCGGGGGTACGCCGATGGCCTCTAATGTGACAACTTATCAGGGAACGACGATGGTGCTCCTATTGTTTCAAGATCACATTCGCTGCYACCCGGGACCGATTGCAGAGGGATGGATTCTCTCTCAGGATGCAAAAGAGTGCGATGACATCGTCCTTCACCTTGGTCATCACGTCGATCCAATCCGAAGCAGCGTTGGCATTGCCGTTAGTTTCCTGCTCCCGCAACAACCGGAAAAGGCCTGCCTCCCTCAGCATGAATTCGATGTCCAGGCCACGGTTTCGAAAGTGGCGGTCGACTCCCTCGCGATCACGCAGCGAAAACGAGACGTCCTCGCGGGCGTGCTGAACAAAGAGCCTCGATCGCGCTCSAAGTGGTTCGTCGCTGTAGCCACTGTGTATAGYATCCGACTCCGATCCTGGCCTGCGGCGGGGTTGGTTCCGGTGGTTGTAGACCAGGGACGATGCCCTGATATGAATGTCCGGATCGTGGCGGACCAGTCGAAACAGGGCGTTCCAGCCCGATTGGCCGACCGTTTGRTGAAAGGCGCACCCGGAGAACTCAAGATGCGCCAGGTGCCCATTGTTCTYCATAAGGGCCTCACACATGGCGGCGACGGCMCCGTTCTGGACCGACAGGCCCGAGAGTATTAGCCTGGACAGCGACTGGAACCCCGCAAGTATCCTCAGCGTCGTGGTAGAGATGTCGGGAACGGTTCGCCGCAGGCGGATCCGGCTCAGAATCGATTTTGAGATCTTAATCGTCCGGAGGTTCCCAGAAACTGCGAGTGCCTGAAGCAACTCATCAAAAGGGGATAATTCCTCGCCATCGCCGCCGCCGCCGCCGTCGTCGTCGCCACTGGGGGAGCTTGTAGCGTCCGTCCTCCAATAGGGTTCGCAGCGATCCCTGGTTTGGTCCTCGATGGTCAGCTCGATCGCCTCTAATGGAATCGACAGTCGCGGTGTGTCTTCCTCTGCATCATACCTGTCTCCACGGTGTGTGGTCCGCGTTCGACCCAGGAGCACCCGCCTAAAACCGTGCAATTCGGAAGACGAATGAACGACGACGTCGTGGACCGTCAATCGCCTGAGGCCCTTTGCAGCCTCAAGAATGGTCAGCAGGTGTGATACCTTCCAGCGGTTTCCTCCTGTCAGGGATATCGATTCAAGGCGCGGAAGGCACACGCACGCTTCAAAGAAACGTCGTTCCTGTAGCTTGTATGCCACGATGCTGTTGATGGTTGCGGGCCTCGTGAAGTTGTTGTCGTTGTTGTTGTTACTGCCATCGCTATTGTTTTTGTTGTCGATGTCGATGTCAACTTCGCCGGATCCGTCGAACTCGTGCTCGTCCTCCAAAAGACGAGGATGAGATGAGTGCGCTGGTTTCGGATATTTCCAATCGTAGCGACAGGATATGGATCGGATTGTGTGGTTTGTCTGCAATGCCTCTGTAAGCCTAGGAATGGTATTCCGTGTGATTTCTAGTCGTCGGAGCGACGGCGACCATGGAAGAGCACGGCGCTYCAGAGGATCGCAGGTTATACTTCTGACCTGGTTCCAACCAACATCTACTGTTACTCCTGCTTGCCAGGGSGTCTTTCTGAGCGCCAGAGTGGTCAGTTTGGGATCGTTGGCTCGAATCCTCCGGACCAAACCGTCCGCCCATTCCGCTTCCCCTCCTTCTTCGCAGTCGTCCTTGCCTTCGAACRAAGTGTAGTCGTTGCTGTTGCTTCTGCTGCTTCTGTTGTTGTTCTCGTATWTAAAATAATTGTCGTCGTCATCGACACCGTATCTTTTCTGCCCACGAATTGACGTCGYAACATCTCGAAGCAACTGTTCAATGGATTCTTTGGTCGGATAATGATGTACACCGTTGTGAGCATTCGGTGTCGGCGGGGAGAAAGCCACGAAGCCTATGCCATTGGACACTGTATCGGCAACGCTATTGCGCGTTTGCGATGCCCCGTCGGGTTCGCTTTTGTGGAGAATGGTCTCCATTCTTGCGGTTCGCTGGCGTGTTGTCTGTTGCCGACCAATCTTCTCCAATTATATTACAGTATCAAGTACAAATATAATTGACTTTCGAGCGTGTTTTGTTCGTAAGGAGTAGCTGGGAGTTAAAGTRCAGTATCGTTATTCGAATACTGTAATACGAACGAGTAACGCATCAACATCTTATTTTTTGGCATACAGAAAGAAGAATCATAACGTCCAGGACTCACATCACTACTCGTAAACAAATAAACAAATATCCGCACGAACCGAGTTGTGATGGAAAGAATCATGAGAGAACTCGTACTTTTACACGTACAATCGTACGGTAGCTGTCAATAGTTCGAAATGAACCTCGTACAACCTCTGAGCAAAGATTTTTTCGTGTCCCGACCGAAGGCGAGTAGTACAAAGCGAGCTGCTTAAAGCGATAAGATGTCAATAGAAAAGAAAAGAGAACAGATTCTAAAAAGTGATCAAGATTTTTTCCATTTAAGATTGGGGTTATTGGTCATTCACTAGCTACTCGTGATCACAATTGGTTCAAAAAAATCTCTTATGTCATTGGTAAATGTGATGAAAAGATCTCTGAACAATCCGATCTGTGAGGGTTGCAAACGAATGTGTCCCACCTAGGAACCTGTTCCTATCGTCTCCCAAGTGCGCCTCTGTACTGTCAACAGACAAGGTCCGACTATCATTCGCCCACAACGCGACACACGATACACATACATTTTTAATCACCGCCAATACCCGAGTTGTCTTGGTCGATCAATCCCATSMTGTTAAAAATTCTTGGCTCTCTCTCGACGTTATGCATTCTTTTACGTTGCGACTTAGCCTGCGTGTCAGACTGTCCAACCGCGGATAGGGCTGCGACTTCCAGTCTTGCATTTACGCCTTGATCTGTGTCTGTGGGGKTGAATGTGGTTGGAGAGAAGGTAGTCGGAGACGAAGTTGGCGGAGACAACGTTGGCGTTGGAATGGTCGGGCTGCCCGTTGGCCCACTATTCGATTGACTGCTCGATTCGCTAGTTGTTTCAGAATTTTGAGTAGTGGGGGAAATYGTGGGCTTCTTCGTGGGTGCCATGGTTGGTTGCACCGGTGACTTGGTCGGGTTGTTAGTGGGAGATGGAATTGGAGATGGAGTGGGTTTGTTGCTGTCATTTTTTGATTTCTTTTCCTTCTTGTCTTTCTTGCTCTTCTTCGATCCTAAAAGCTGTTTTGACTTCTTATTACTCTTTTCGGACTTCGTGCGGAGGAAGCTGCGGACAAAAGTTCGGGGAGAGGCGGGGGKGTTCTGAGAGGACTCGGCTTCCATGATCTCTAGACCGACGTTSTCCATGGCGTGGGCAAGTCCCACCATGGAAGTCGACAAGCAGAGGCCGACCAACAATATTCGTTTCTTCATTACAGACATAGCGGTTCTTGATCGACTCGGAAGTCTTTGGTTCGAGCAAAAAGATCTTTGGGGAAGAAAGAGGTTTTGTGGCTAGAACGTCTCCTGACGACGGTTGTTAGTGGATTAGCTTGCTTCTTCGTTGCCTAAAGAATACTCTGTTACTTTTCTGTTTGTGCCAAGAATGCATAGRTGGCTCCAATAACTCGAGCCGTAATATTTCGTGTCGTGTTAACAATGTTTTTGCCAGATTTTTAAAGTGTGRTCAGTGGTGTCCTTTCTGTGGACAATCAAAAAAGAGCGGGAACATGCTCTCCGGTCCAGGCTCTCGGGTTTCAAACAAAGCTACGGTAGAAATGCGTTTCGTGTATTTACCATCTGAACGGAAAGTTAGCCTTCCTTGGAATTTTATTCTGTGTTCGCCGCGTTCTTCATCGTCTTTGAACACGTGCAGGTCACAAAACAAGGAAGTGCGATGCGAGCTGCGCGCCGATAGTTTTCTGTTCCAATAAAGTTGGCCAAATTCTCAACCATATTTCTCGGAAAGAACGTCCCACTCAGTTGGTAATACCAGTTTCACTATCATTTTTCATTCATGTGCTAAGTCTTCGTCAAAAACAGTATGAATGAAATAGTACGAAGACCAATCAAGAAGTGTGTCTGGATTTATTTTACTACTAGTACTACTACTAGTAGTAAGAGGAGTACTAGTAGCACTACTAGGAGTTTCTCAATGATTGCTGGTGTTAGTACTAGTAGTACTGCTACTAGTAGTGGTAATTGCAGGAAGAACAAGAACAAGACTTGACCAGGTTTATTCTTGTTGTTGTCTTTGGTGTTCTTGCCTTGGTGTTGATTTAATTGAAGGACAAATTGTACACAGAAAATGTACCAACAATAGAACTAAAAGTGTTTTGAATGCACTACTACCACAGCAGCAATGCCAGGCCAAGAATATTTGCGAAAGTTTTCATGGAGGAATGAAAAATTCTCAACTACAGAAATTGGTTGAAGTGAGCACCATGCACTGGTCTGCCCCACCTAGACAAATCAGAACAAAGGAGTTTGAAACACAAATCATCCATCATTGAGGCAGCAAGAAGAGTGAAGCTCAACAGAGTCATCAACCAGTACTACTAGTACCACCTATTATAGAAAAGTGTAGCAAGGATAGACTCCATCTAGTATGGATGAAACAAAGAACAACAAAGCAGGTTCCCCCTTTGGTGCAACCAAAGAGAGAGGACAAGAAGAAAGGAAAGAAGTGACAGTGAAGGTTCTGGCTGAAGGAGGAGGAAAATAGGCCAAGTTGCTCTAGTATACAAAGCTGATAACACCACCAGAGGGGTTTGTCTAGGAGGGGCCATTTTGATGTGACATTGCTTGCCCACAAAAGTAGTGTTAATGTTATGTGAACTATGGTTACTAGCATTATTTCATTTTTTTCAAAAAGTGGTCATCCCATTTTTGTTGTCTCAACTTTCTCAAAACTTGTGTTGCTAAATGGTGCCACCTGCAAGAAAATTTAGAAAAAAATCTTTGCTACTACTCAAAGTAGTGGATAGCATTATAGGAATATATTTAGAGCTGATGGTTGAAGTTTTTCAATGCTCTTTGTTACATACAGCAATATTGCAACTTGTGCAACCATTCCTTGGCATTTTCATACTAGCAATCAACCATTCCTTGGCATTTTCATACTACTAGCTATCCCTGGCAACTTTTGCAATCTCCTAACTGCTGATGAGTTAGGATACTTTGCTTCTTCTATGCAAACAAAAAATAGTTCCTCTTCACTGATTCATACTTACCACAACTGTAACTTTTTTCATGTAATGGCTTTGTTCATCAATGCAGGACTGCCAATATGGATGGTTTGTACACTTTCCACCATTCCTTCACCATAACTCATCTCATACAACAAGGCTGATCACAACTACATAACAGGAATGCACCATTCTGTCAAGCAACCAGAAAAATTGAATGACACCATCTGTTTGTGTGAAGCGATGTTGAATAATTCTTACTATCCTTGTCTGAGATATCCTTTTCCAACCTCACTGTTAGTAGAGAGGTGGAAATGGAAAATCTTTTGGTGACCTTGATCTAATCTTCTTCTTTGTCTAATCAAGAAAAGTTAGTAGTAGAGCTGATGCCCACTTGTTGTGTTCTTCATTTAAGAACTTCTTAGCCACAACTTTCAATTTCTAGTAGTTATCCTCTTGTCCAAAGTGGATTGAAAGAATACAAACCACTGAATGATAACGCAGGTGAACGATGCAGATCTCAAAGGCAAGAAAGTACCCAGTGTCTGCATCACACAGACAGTATACCTTGATATCTTGCTTGATAGGCTTCCTGGTGGGAAGATACTGAACAAACTGGATCAATCTTCCTCTGTAAACTCTCATACCAGACTCATCAACAGACAGATCAATATTTGCATGCCACCCAAGACAAAGACAATTGCTCCATCACAGCCCTGATTTTATAGAGGGGGGCTTCTTTGTGACTGGCCTGACTTCTGTATGGTGCACTGGACCACCATTTTTCTCTTGTACAATGACCTTTGCAACCTTGAAGAATTCTCACTGCTCTGGACTTCTGGAAGAAACCAAAAGAAACTTTTTTTTTGTGTAGAATCCATGTAGTAGTAGGCCTCAGTACCTCAAAATAGCAAATAAATTAGTACATTCACAAAAAAGAGTTCTTTTCACCCTTGCACTCACTTATTTGGATTAGTAAGCCACATTTGGGACTTTTTGTGTGGAAGGGGGGGAAGATGGGAAATGGAGACAGGAAAAATAGAAAATAATGACAGCTGATATTGCCACCAGAAACTTGCCAGCATGATGCAGCTGTTCATGACAAGTTTAGTGTTAATCTAGTGGAGTAAAGTAAAATATTAAGAATATTTTGGAAGAATCAAGCAATATGATTGGCTATTTTAGTAGTGGATGACTGATTTGATTTAGTCCTAGATTTTCACTTAGGAGTGGAGAATAAGCAAAAAATGTCTTTTTGGTTTTGACTAGTTGGAATACTTTTTTGACTACTTAGAACACATTGTTGACTAGTTAGATTACTTTGAATGACTATATTTTTGTGATAATCTGAACTCCTGAAATGTCCTCCTCTTGAACAGCTGCTGTGATGGGGCTTGTTTTCATACTGGTGGTATCTCTATTACTACTAGTAGGGGTCAGCAACGCAATGGTATTTGACCGATGCAATGCTGCACTAGGGTCAAAATTTTTGTAACTGTGCAACACTACACTTGACAAGTACGCATCGGCCATTGCAAGACTGGATCATATGGTCAGGACTAAAAAATGTAAGACTGAACACATATGGGACTAAATATTTGTTAGGCAAGACTCAATTTTAAAATGAATTCTTAGACCTTCTACTACACTACTACGTCATGTGGCGTAGTAGTTAAAATTACTGGAATTACTGTAGGAATACTAGTTCTTGTATGCTACCAGCAACAGCAATGACTCTGTGGCAGCCTCTGCCCTTGATGATAGTGACACTACTAGTAGTACAGAAGAGGAGGGCCCTTTGAAGAGCAAGTTGCAGTGTCTGCCAATCCTTAGAGAATCAAGGAATCATGCAATCTGGAGCTGCTTAGATACATGTCGTCCCATCCCCAACAACATGTACCCTTTGAGATAGACAAGGAGAGGAGTAGCAAGGCAAGGAACTTTAACCCTCTATAATGGTGGGGAAATAAAATGAACCAATTTCCATTGGCTGTTCTACTAGCAAGGAAGTATCTTGCTGTTCAAGCAACATCTGTTCCTTAAGACAGTACATCAGCAATCTACACTCTAGTACTAAGATTGATCCTGATATTGCAGCAGGAATAACTTTATTGTATGGTGTTATAGCTGAAAATTTGGATTGGTATGAGAAACAAATGGACACATGATAGTTGAATGATTAGTGAATGGCAGCAACATCATAGTGGTGGTATGGGGCTACTAGTAGTAGTAGCACTACTAGTAGTATCAAGAAGTAATTATTAATAGTAGTATACTACCTCCCTTCCTAAATAAGAATGGGCCAGTACAGTTTGCCCTACTTTATCTTTTTGTCCAAAATAATGATGCAGTATTTACTTTATAGATTTTGGAGTTTTTGGCTGTTGGATTCTACAAATGACTGTGTATGACTGTGTAGAATGTTTAGAGTCAGTACTACTAGAGACCAGAAATGAGCATGTGAATGAATAAAAATTATTTTTGCATATGAAATTAAGCAGTGTATTATTGACATGGAAAACAAAAATATACCGACAATGATATGGTGCACCTCTTTTGAACAAGAATGACAAGTACTACTAAAGGAACACTCTCTAGGAATATACTAAGAAGAATATCATGATAACAAAGCTGTCAGTCTTACCAATCATGTGCAAGTAGCAGCGTATAAAAATGACCTTTACTAGTAGCTACTGCTAGAAAACCCCAGCAAACTGATGGTATTATCATAGTATTGTTAGTATGAAAAAAACCTTTTTGAAGGATTATTCCTTTAGTGCTGCTGCTGGTATGACATTGAAAGGCACAGAAAATTCAAATAGTTTTAAACAAGACCAACATAAGAAAAAAGAAGCAGTCAAATCACCCAAATATTGAGCTTCATCCAGCCCACCAAGAGGTGCAAACTGTACCATTATTTCTTAGGAACAGAGGTAGTATTTTTTATTACACAAGAGCGGCATTGTGGACTGTTCTTGTTGCAGCGCAACATTTTTCAAATACCGTTGCATTGCCAACAACCCCTAATCTCAATAGAGCTTCTAAGTACGATTCCAGTGCTGGCAAGATAATGACAATTTCCCGAGTGTCAATTTTTTCTTATTTTCCCGTCTAATATTTCCCCTCTCCCCCCCTCCACACAAAAAACTGACAAGTCCTAAAATATTTCTAGTAGTACTACTATTAGTGCTGGTCCTTACTAGTAGTACTGTGGGTATAAAATCAGAGCTTATCCCCAGTATTAAGGACCACTAATAGGAATCCTTTGGGACTAGTGAGAAATTAAACAATGGAAATATTTTTATTTTTGTCCGTTGGATGCCTTTTTTAACTGGTTGTAAGTGTAAAAATGAGCTAAATATTTCTATTAGTATTTGTACGGGGATTCAGCACTGGAATTGTACTTGATAGCTCTAAATCTCAATCATACCTTACATGGTGGCTCTGTTTCAAACGTGGATAAGTTCCAATGCTATACTACGAAGTACGTACATGTACCGGTACAAAAATTAGCAGACCAGAGAAAATCTCTCCTCTCAGTCCTTCTTCAACAACGTTGACCAGTTGGAAGAAGAAATTAAATATGGACCATGTTATTGCATTGTTTGTTTTGGAAAGGAGGCCATCATCACCATTGACGAAGGCTCTCACAAAGGTGATCGAAACTACACGAAACAAGTGCAAAACACAATGAAATTCTACCACACTATCATTCTCTTCTTCCTGTTATCGATAGTGTCGGCACGTGTGGATTGCTTCTCTCTCATACCGACAGATCGGCACCACCACCAGCAGTCTCTGATTCGTCTCGGACTCTTTAGTTTTGGAGGAAGCGGCGAAAATGCATCCGTCCCCTCCACCACGAGCGCCCGCGATAAGGCAGCCATCGAATCGTGTAAAAAGGCTATCGAGCGCCCCCGCAATGCGGACTTTCCGCTGATCGAGCTTGAATTTCCCGTCCTGGCTGCACTCAACAAGCTGGGAGACGGGTCACTACGGTCAGCCATGGAGGCAGAAGATGCCAACCTTTCATTTGTAGGAAAACTCACAAAGGGGATTTCGGTGCCATTTCCGCTCTCTTTTGGTGGGTCGAAGGTATCGATTGCCCTGAGCTCGTCCGCCAGCAACTCGTTCAAAGCAAAGGCCGCTAAAATCACCAAGGGAACGACCATACTATCGGCATCGTCGCCGTCTCTTGCCGAAGATGTTGGGAGTGGCGGAATATGCATATTCGTATCGCCTACATCTCGTGGCGACTACAACTCCGCGCAGCAACTGGCACGGTCTGGTACTGCGAAGGCGGTAGTGATTGTTAATGCCTTTGCGAAGGATCCCCGGAGCATCCCTGGAGACGCCACAATGGCATATTTTCTGAAGCCACTGACATACAATTCACAGGTCGCCGGATACCTGATCCGATCTTATCCCAGTAACTGGACCGTTCTGGATGCAACCTCAAAGGCGGTCCTCGGCACCTTTTCTGACGGGGAAATTCTGGTCCAGGGCACAAACACTCCTGACCTCAGAGCTTCGGGAAGAATAGTTCAAAAGTCGGTTGACGAACGGGCAATTGCCGCACGCAACAGCAATAAATAGAGGGAGACGAAAACGAACATCATGTAGAATGACAAAAAAGTTTCGAAAAATATGGGGCCCCTACTGTGTCGATCGCGACTCGAATTGATTTGAGCCTGCAATGCGGGACGAAAATTGTTAGAGAACAAGACTAGCATTACTTGCATCAGAGTGCGAGAATATTTAACTTATTTTGAGTAATTTTGTACTAAAAAATATCATTCGCTCAAAGTAAAATCTGCTGTGAGATAGGATGATGGTTAGACTTCATTAAAAAGCAATGTGGTTTCCTAGTCAGCATTGTATTCTGCTGTATATTTATTGCACTATCTAGGATGCGGTGCATAGTGTGCATGTATAGTAACTGTAGATAAGCATAATGTTAAAAATAGCAATGCTACTCAATAATACGTTACAAATTAAACAATTACTACTTGATGTCACTACTGTATCTCGAAAGCATGACCGAACGATTCTAATACATATTTGCTGTTGTTTGGTACTAAGTGATCCCCGACGAGATTGGGTATGATGTTATAGTCTTCTGGTTTCGCGTGGTGCCAAACAATCGAAATTAGCTCCTAGAAATCAGAAGCTTCCTCGACTAATAACCCTAGAGGATCCTCTTTCCTTGTTCTTTTCACCACTATTCTTCTTGACATTCTTCTCATCGTTTGAACGAAGATTGGAAACCATTCGTTCTATCATACGATGAACACTCTTCGCCGTTAGGTTTTTTTTCTTCTTCTTGATTCCCTTCCCAATAACTTCGATGCTCACTTCACTCGCGATTGCGGCACCATTTCTACCCGCAGCATTTGGTTTTTTAGTTGTCTGCCTTGCACCCTTGCAGTCGTCACCCTCATCTTTGGTGGTACCATCAGTGTTGATCGTGCTCTCGTCGGATTGGACTCCTACGGCACAAGACTCTTCGTGGTTGGGAACAATATCTTTTCGGCTATCCACCTCATCGACACTTCCGGTCCAGGGAGTAAAGGATAGCCCCACCGGAGTGGTAGTGTTTGGCACACTGTCGTTCGACAGCTTCGATTTCTTGAGCAGTATTTTATTTCTGCCAGGCTCTTTGGTGTCAACAGGTAACCTGTATCGGAGGATAGTTGTCGCTGCTTTGGCAGCCAAGTCTTTCTGGTTATCAATTTTGATCATGATCTCGTCCTCTTCGTTTTCGCTTGTCAATGCAGCGCCGTCTCGTCGGACAAGGACGATTTCCTCATTGAATCCATCTTCATCCAAAATTCCTGATATGTTTGCTCCACACCCGTTTTGAAGCACAAAAAATCTAGACGACTCGATAGTGTATTGGAACTCCAGAGACTTGACGTCTCCATTCAATGTTTCTCCATACGTAGTCAACGTACTGGCGTATGTATTCAAGCTTATGTCTTCATCGTCGTCGTTGTCGTCACAACCCCCCTGAGATTTGCTTCCCGATTTGATGTATCGAGAAGTTTGATTCTCGGTCAAAATTTCTTCAATAGAATCTGCACAGGCGAACGCGTTGGAGCTGGTAATCTTGTTGTCGTTGCATGCCATTAGCGTGTTGTTTTCCGGTGCCAACTTCGCTGCAGAGCAGCAGAGCTCAAGTGAACAATGCAACCGTTGCTCTGGTAGTTTTGCTAAGGCTGGCAGCAGTTCCATGGAGCCGTCCTTTTTCTCCACCATCTCGGCAGTTGGCAGCATTCGGCGTTGGTCAATGTGTTCACAGATCAAGTTTACGATGAAACCGCATAATGTCTTTTACTGACATAACACGACCCCAATCAAATTCGTTTAGAATGGTAAATGGCATCTGTTGTTTTTCTATAGATACTTCTTTACTACGTTGTCGTACTTTTCGACATGTGCTTTGCTGTGGGAACAGATTCTCCAATGCCGCTTTTGTTCTTCGAAAGATATCGACAAGATACCATAGTGTCAACAAAAATTGGACCGTTTCTGAGATGAACGGCGTTGTATTCTTAGTTGTGGCACAAAATTCACGAAAATTGTCCGTTCGTGACCAGGGAAAATACGCATACTATGGGATTCTTCTATTTTGTCCAACCGTAATAAAACCCTTTCGGCCTCAAAGCATCTTGCGAAGGCATATTTATTTCTCAACGGAAGAATCTGTAATATGCCACGTCGAATTTTTCTAATCTCGTACGGATGTTTGCAGCTCCAGTATTAGCGACTATCCTACCGATAGGGTTCGTAGTTCGTACCGGTACGTATTACCCTTGTGTGTTGTAAAAAATTACTTTACTTTGTACGGTAGTAGTACTAGTTACGTCCTTGTACTAGTACGAAGTAGCCTATTCTAATAATCATACAGTACGTACGTATGTAACGTACAAGCCAACATACCACTATACCCTGCATCCTACCATCTTATGTACATAGAGTACGTACTACTGTATACTGTATCATATATCAAATAGTATCTTCCACGTGGAAGGATGAAAGAGCATGTATGAAAACTGGGAACGGCAAACGTCACGTCCTTCCGTACGCACAACGAGTGATGTCACATCACGTCGTGCAGTTTTGTTCATGGTGCCGTACGGTACTCGTACGGGTACAAGTACCATGGTATCAACAATCAACAACAGCATCCGCCTTCTTTCTTCGATCACATCGCGAGATAGTTGTACTCTTAACGTTCTCCAGATACAACATTACTCGTTCTGTAGTTTCACTTCAAAGTTGTATTCCGTCGAATACAGTCGAAAAAGTCTCAATTTATCCGATATATATATAAAAGTAAAAACATGTTCCGTACTTCCAGATCAATTTCGTTTCTGTTGCTCGTTGTATGGACGTGCCTGCTTGCAGTGACGGCATTCGTGTCCACGGCTCCAAGGCTCGCAACAACCAGCAGCAGCACTTCTCTCTTTGCTGTCAGCAGCCTCGTTCGAAAAGCAAAGGAAGCCGAGCTGAAAAAGGGTCTCAAAGAAAACGGAATCCCCGACGACGTCATGGAAAACTACAAAGTTATTCAGGAGGCGTTGAAAAGCGACGATGCTGCTGCTCCAAAAGAGATGGGTCCCCTCCAAGACAGGCTTACGAGACGCAAGGGAACCATCACGGTGATTGCCGAATACAAGCGCAAAATTGCCGACGGGGCCAATGGGTACATCAATGTCAACGGGGGCACCGACGACGATGCCGACGACKCCGAAAAACGAAAGCAAAACCTCGCCGCCAACCAACCCAAMTTGCTGAGCAGTGAATTCCGAGAATTCGGTGCCGCGGGAATCGCCGTCCTGGCCGACGGCCGAATGGGCGGGTGYACCTACGACGACATTGCTACCTTTGTCGAGGAGCAGCGCCGTGCGAGCAACGAGGTTCCCGGGCCTGTTCCGGTCATCAACAGCGACGTGATTATCGACGAGGTACAGATCGCCCAAACGGCGGCCGTCGGGGCCAAAGCGGTGGTCCTCGACTGGGAGCTGTTGGGTGGCGAAGAGGATGTCGTCAAGCTTGCCAAGGCCGCACGGGCTCTCGATCTCGAGGTCATTGTTGCTGTTCGATCGAAGGAAGAAAGCCAGGGTGCAATCGATGCCGTTGGTGGATCCTTCATGATCAGTGTCGTCGGAAAACCAACTTGYGATGAAAAGGTAGAGGTAGTCGATGGCCTCGACATACCGGAAGACGTGACCATTACCACCATTGCCAACATTTTGCACCGCTCCGACCAGGGTCTGGCCGAGGTCGAAGAGTGCTGGATGTGCCGCGACAAGGGTTTCAACGCCGCCTGGATTTCCGATGCCCTGTACAAGGCCGGAAATTCCGAGGTCGAACACCCCGGTGCCATCATCCGCAGCATGGCGGCAAAATCGAGCGTCCGATGGGCGTCCCCTGTTGCCAAGAGCGGACGCGGAGAGGGTGCCAAGGAATACCTGGGTGATATTCTGATGTAGGTAGTCAAATTCTCGCAATATATCGTGAAAAAACTAATTACGCACCATTACTGTATCAACACACAGCAACATCGATAGTTGGAATTGAAAAAGTTCGGTGACAAAACGGAATAGTAGATATTTTTTTAACACGGGCACCGTGGAAGACGAATGTTCCCTGAGGGTCCACAAAGGAACATATGTTTGCTACTGCTGGAACTCCGATTGATCTGTAGGAACTAAAGGAACCATCTCCATTTCTGTAGCTCGAAGACATTGACGTGATTCTCGTACATGCTGGAGTAGAAGTAGGCTGACCAGGATAATCGCCCAACGATCGTAAAATAGCATACATGTTTTTTCCTAGTGGATATCCCCAACCAACTCAAATGTCAGCCTGGTGACTTGAGGGGACACTCACATGATGGATTGAATACAACACATCGACTTTTCCAGGACCGTAGCACACGACGTTCCCTCAAGTCGAGCGTATTGCAATCCTCAATCTCGTCTCGATGATGTTCAATAAGTCTCTTATGAAAAGAGACAACTCGAACAGTGCACCAAGACTACAGACTGGATGGTGTGATTTCGAGCTACAAGAATACCCAAAAGTTAGACATGGCGCGGAAGCACGGCACGGCACGGCACAACACTACACAACTCAGCCTAGCCTAGACTAGCCCAGCCCAGCGCAGCAGACGACTACACGACATGCCCCACACCGTACAAAAACCGCGAGTTTTTTTTTAAATGTATTTTCTATTTGTTTAACAGGTGCGAGACCGAGGCCCGATCCAACCGTCGTCTCCCTCCGTTGTTCTCGGCGGGTTCGTTTGGTCCGTCTCGGACAAGACACCCAAGGGCGTCTCCCCCGGCGGAACATCAAACGAACCGCGTCATTCCAGCGAAAGAAAGGATCGGTGGGTTTCCCGGCGCCTCGGTTTCAGAGATTTGCGATCGACAACCGCAACGCAAACGGAGAAGGAGCGTTTGGTTTGCGGCCGGGCGCGGTTCCTACTTTTTCGGCGGCTCGTGTCCCTCCGTTCGAATCCATCGAACGGAAGCGAAGCACGWGGAGCGTCATTCCAAGAAACCACGCCGGACTTTTTGCCCTTCTCTGTTTACCGTTTCGGCACGAGCCACGGCTTGCGAGCGTTCGTGTCGACAACGATTGCCGCATCGCCTCGCATCGCATAGCCGCGGTGCATTGGTGGTGATTGTTGTTCTTTTTGTTCGTGTCCTTTTTGGTGTTGGTTGCTTGCATGCCAACGCAAAAGACGGTCGCTCCACCCGGCACGGCACCAGGAACGGGCCTCACCGGGCTCGAACGAACCAAGGCCTAGCAGCAGCGGTCGGAGCGTTCTAGTCCCGGGAGCAACCGGCGAACGAACCGGGCACGCCTACAGCGCGGCCGACTTGGTGCTGCTGCAGTACAGGGAGTTCTTCCCCCCCTTCCCCGAGTTCTGCTTGTGGCCGGTCTGGGGAGGGAGCACCTGGGACTTGGTCCCCGTTCGTCACGGCTTGATGTACTTGGTGGCCGAGTAGTTCACCTGGTGCTTCTCAWAGTCGGACGTGTGGGTAAAGGAGGACCCGCTGAGGTCGATGGRCTGGTCCTTCCGCAGGGAGGAAGCAAAGACGCCCCGGCTCGMGTCGTTGCGGTGGTTGGACTCGTGCATCGTGAAGCGGGTTTCCTGCGAGGGGTCGGTGGTGAGCTTGACCTCGTTGTGGGACCCGATCATGCTGGTGAGGGCCCCGTCGAGATCGTCCAGGTTGGTCTTGTTGCCGGCGCGGCTTCTTCTGTTTCTTCGGGGGTTCATGGTGTTGTGTTGTGCTGTGCTGTGCTGTGTTGTGTTGTGTGGTGCGATCGGGTGTGTCGTTTGTGTCGGGGTGTTCTCTGGTAGAAGCACGAGTACTCGTAGTTGCCGCTGGGGTGGTTCCTTGCTCGGGCTTCGGGAACGGCTTTACGTGTTTTCTTTTTACTAAGAGGTGCTTGCAACCCGAACCGGGTGGAGGACAGACTTTCGAACAAAAACCACTAATTTTGCCCGGAACAGGACCCTACTGCGACGCGCTGCGGTGGTCGCGTGGCTCGGTTCCTTTTCCGAGGGGAAACAGAAAGCAGGAAAACCTAAAAACAATGTGTTGTTCAGTACTCGTGCCGCCCATCGCGGTTTTCTTTGGCATCCGACGAGAGCAACGATACTACTGTACTCGGTACCGTAGGAATCCCATCAAAATCTCTGGATTGGATTGACCGAAATACGTACTCGTACCGCTGCGAACAGAACAACGCCGACCCAACGAACACCCGACGGAAACCAAACCCAGCGAAAGCAAACCAGCCCAGCCCAGCCTTGCCCAGCACAACCCAGAATGTCCGACGCCCGCAACTCGTCCAACAACCTCCGCGGGGGGGGTGCCCGGCAAACCGGGGGCTCCGGCCGCACCAGCAAGTACGCCCAGGGGAACCACAAGACGGAGCTCCTGGGCCAGGCCGGCCTCGCGGCCCACCAGGACCGATCGGAGGCCAAGCGCAAGCTCCAGCTCCAGCTCACCTCCAAGCAGCTGGCGGCGGACGTCCGCAAGATGCTCCTGGAGTACCACACCGAGGAGGAATACAGGGACATGGAGATCCCCCTCCCGTCGACCGAGGACGCCAAGAAGAAGCTCCAGGCCATGAAGGAATTCACCCAGAAGTGGTACGACCGGGAGTTTCGGGAGGAGTGGCTCCAGACCGTCACGGAGGTCTGGCTGGAGGAGCTCAAGGAAAAGTACGAGGAGGCGGTCCGGGCCGCCATGGCGGCACGGAACCCACCGAGGGAGCAGCAGCAGCAGCAGCAAGAGGGCGAGGCCATGTCGATCGAGGAGCTCCAGGAGCACATTGCCGGCCTCCCGGCCGACACCCCCCCGGAGGAACGCCAACGCCTCAAGAAGAAGCTCAAGCGCAAGAAACAGCGGGCCAAGGAGAAAGAAAAGGCCAGGGCCGCGCCTCCCGCCGCCGGAAACTAGCGGCCGTGCCGAAACGGGGGGCGGCCGGCCGGAGGGTGGCGCACCCCCCCCCACCCGAATGCGACGAAAACCGAGGGAGGGAAGGACCCCCGCAGTCCAGCGAGGTGGCCGGGTTCGGTTCGCGACGATCCCCGCACGCACCGCGGTTCTTCTGCCACGCCCTTTCRAGGAAACAAACAAACAAACAAACAACAGCGTGCGTGCATGCATGCATGCATCGGCTCGGACCAGGCACTCTGTGGGTTCGGTTCGAMAAGGAATCCCCGRAACCGCGCTTCCGAATGCGGGAAAGAGCGATCCGAAGCAGCGAGCAGACGGAATGCATCGCGACGCGGGGGAGTCGGGGACAGACCGGCACGATTCCAGCTGCACCGGATACGGGAGAGGGCAAGCCCGCCCGTGCCTGCAGTTCTACAAAATACGCCTGTCCCAAGATTTTGGTCGAGCGTGGTCCTGTCGCGACACGGACAGTGATACTTATTACTACGATTTCTATAGCGCGCCGTTGAAAGAAAACTATGTCGCAGGGGTATCCGTAGATATAGATGTAGTGTACTTGCGGAAGATGTTGTGTCTTTTTATAGGTTGTGACAACCGAAATGTGGCGTACAGCAACAGTCACCGGGAATTTCATCATATTCCCGTTAGCTTCGTATTCCCAAATGCTCCCGCAATTCAATGTACAACGGGCATCCGGTCGAAGTAGCCTCTACGGACAAGGCCTGCGCTGGGGATATTTTGGTTCGAGCTCTCGCAATTGAGACATCGGGGCTTAAAAGTTTTCATGTTTTTTTTTCCTCCGGCATCAAAGTTGTTCGTCACACATCGCTCTCGATGGAATCAACGAGACGAGTCAAAAAGAATCTTTGTACAATGATGCTGTGGCTTCGAGAAAAAGGTCCTGGCAAGTTATGCGTACAGCAAATGTTCTTCGGCTTGCGAGGACTGTCAGGTAGAACACGAAGCGCACGCATAGGAGCCTTGTGCAAAGCAACAGTAGCTGGCGAGATCGTGTTCGCCCAATGCGATCCAGCAACGCTAGTGTCGGACGACGTGGTGTCGCCGGCGTGCTGCTTCCGCGAATTTCTCGTTTTCCGCCGTACTGTTTGGTTTGAAGAGTGCCCACGGATCACGGGCAGACCAGATTTTGTGTTCCTCGGTTTGCACGGATCGGAATCCGAGCTCCCTTCGTCCGCCCCCGATGCCGAGCAGCCTGCCATCAAATCGAAAAGCCCTCGAACCTCGGTATCGCTGCGCGCCTCGCTGCTCCGCCGGCGTCTCCCGGAATCTGGGGAGAGATCGACAGGGGATCGTCGTCAAAGCCGTCGGCCTCCGGCAGGAGACCCATCCCCCCGCCGTCCAGCTCCTCCGGCCCCACCCCGCCGCCGGCCGCCAGCCGTTCCGCCGTTCGCACGGCCTGCGTAGCGGCGTCGTCCAGGTCGCTCGCCATCGAGATGTGCCCCGCGCCGGACTCGGCGATGAGGGCCTTGGCTTCCTCGTAGTTGGTTCCCTGGAGCCGGACCACCAGGGGGGTCCGGATGCCAATCGTTTCGGCGGCCCCCAGGATGCCGCTGGCGATCACGTCGMAGCGCATCAGCCCCCCAAAGATGTTGACCAGGATGACCGAGACCCGCGGGTCTGCCTCMAGGATCCGAAAGGCGGCCCGGATCTGGTCCACGTCGGCTCCACCGCCGACGTCCAAAAAGTTGGAGGGCCTTCCGCCCTTGGAATGGATCAGATCCATCGTGGCCATCGCCAGGCCGGCGCCGTTGACCATGCACCCGATGCTTCCGTCCAGCCCGATATAGTCGATCCCGTGSCTGATTGCCTCGGCCTCGCGGGGGTCTTCCTGGTCGTAGTCCCTCTGGGCAAAGATGGATTCCTGTCGAAAGGCCGCGTTGTCGTCGAACCGAACCTTGGCATCTACCACCACCATGTCCGTCGCCTCCTTGCCGCCGGGCTGGTCGAAACCCACCGCTTCTGCCAGCGGATTGACCTCGATCTGCGTGCAATCGCGCTTTTCGAACACCTCGTAGAGTTTCATCATCGTGTCCACCGCCTGATCGAAGGTCGCCGGATCCGAGCCCGGATCCAATCCGATGTTTTCYGCCATGCGCTCGCACTGATCGAGCTCCAATCCGTCCATGATATCTATTTCTTCCGTGAAAATAAGATTCGGGTGGGATCGGGCGATCTCTACGATCGAGGTCCCGCTGCTGCCCCCGACCGGCGATCCGATCAGGAGGGGTCCCTGGCTGGACCGATCCATGAGAATCGAAAGATAAAACTCCCGCTGCAGCTTCAAGCGCTCCACCAGAAGGACCTGGTTGCACACGACCCCCTCGGGGGCCTGTTTTGTGACGAGCTTTTGGCCCAGCATGTTCGCGGCAAAATCGCGGGCCTGGTCCGGATCGGAAACGACGTGGACGCCGCCCTCGAATCCGTTCCGAAAGGTYCCGGAATKTCGGCCGCCCGACAGSACCTGTGCCTTGAGGACGGCGTCGCGAAACAACGATCCTACAAGAACGATTCGYGAGGGGAACGAAACGCAAGGAATGAGAGGCAGAAGGCAGCAAAAGGAACAATCGGGAACGATGTTGCATGCCATTGTGTAGAGAGCACGCTGCGCCGAACCGATACGCACCATCTCCACTGGGAGAAGACTTTTGGAAGTGAGTCCGAAACAGTTCTTCGGCTTCGTCCGGGGTCGAGGCAATGTAGCCCCCGGGGGTGCGGATGCCGTGGTTCCTCATCAGTTCCATGGAGGGAAACTCGTGCAGGTGKAGGTTTCGTACGGCACCCACRACCGGGACGCGGGTGCTTCCACCAACGGTGCCCGCCGTCCTTGCGCAGCTGCGCCAAGCGGCGGAGYCCGCTCCCCGGAACAGCCGCAATGGAAGCGGCCGGACAGAAATCATCGTTATCGTGCTTTTGCGGCGTCTGTTTGTTGTCGCAACGATGTTCTTGAATTGTTTTGTTCGGTGTCTTTCGGGACAAGATTGCTTGTTGTTCTGTAGTGTGAAAGTCTAGTTACTTAATCCAAGGGTTTTGTTAGCAATGGAAAAGATTCACAATGTTGTCTCCGTCTCGTTAACCATTGTGCACCAAGGAAGTTCTGGTGTCCTGACTGGAAATTCGTGACATCATCCCCTGTTGCTTTTGCGGAAGGGGTGGCAACTATTTTTCGTCAAAACAAAAAGAGAACCCCCGAGTTGATGCATCGAACAGCGTTTTTATCATCCCAGTTCTTTTCGGAAGTTTTGCCGCCTTTTCATTATGTAGATAGAGTACGAACATATGAATATTGCCTTGTGTCCGTATCAAAGAGACAAGAGACGGCAAAACGCTTAGAACAGCATGCGCGCGCGCGTGAGGATTACAGTAGACTACTGCACTCGTTAGTAACTTCACATACCAGTAAGTACGTACCGTACGTACCGGTAGGTCAGGGATTTGAATTCGAGAATTATCATCGATTCCATTCGTTGGGAGTGTTCCTTGTGACCATTTTTTATTGACTGTACCGGTAGACTACGAGTGCCSTGATCGATTGTGGTCAAATAATCGTAYTCTCGCATCACAACAATTCCCATCGCCGTATCGCCACTGCCAAGGAAAAGAGAGTTGGAGGACGACAATGCCACCATTCACGATGGCCGGGGGAGGGCAGCCACAGAAACAACAAACAACAATGGGCGGAAACCGGCGGCGATCCCCATCGTCGGCTGTAGAAATAATAGGAACCATCTTGAACACAATTTTCCACAACAAGCACATACTCCTCCTGATGAATGCTTCTCTCATCGTGTTCTTGGTGGTCATGAACGGCCAATCCAGCTACATCTTGCTGCCAGATGCACCAGCCGATACTTTCTCGTCGTCGTCGTCGTCGGCAATAAGGAAGGCATCAACTGTGATGGACCTACCGAAACCAGYCATTGCTTCGGAACCATGCCCGGACCCACCTCCCCCCCCTCCGCCTAAAATTATTCACACAAACGGAATGAGCGGTAGCACCACCGAAATCAAGGAGTACAACGATGCCGAGATCGGAAAGACGGCGTCGGTTCTGGCCATGGCCACGGGGTACAGCCTTCTCGATTACCAGCGCTTTGTTGGATCCCTCCGAAAAACGGGCTTTGAGGGAAACATTATTCTTGCGGTGTCACCCAACATAAATTCGGAATGCGAAAACTACCTCGCTACCAAGAACGTGATCCTCCACAAGGTCCAGTACGTCGAGTGCAGCCACCCGGTGAAGAAAAACGTGGATAAAAACGACGAGCACGAGAAGGAACTCGTCACCTGTGTCCACCCGTACCCCAAGCTCAAGCACCGGTGGGCCCGGTTTCCCTTGCTCAGAGATTTACTCATGCAGTGTGGTGGGCACGAACATCCCGAGGTCCAGTGCGGCGGGCCCGTCCTGATTACCGACATGCGGGACACTATGTTTCAACGGAATCCATTTGGTCCCGAGGCCCCCAAGGTCTACGGCCTCCAGGTCTTTGCCGAGCACTACTCCATTCGGACCACCCACTGGCTCGTAGACTGGCCCGTCGGCGACTGCAAGGGCGTCCACTACGACGAACCCATGCTTTGTTCCGGGACCACCATTGGAACGCGGCAGGCCATGCTGGACTACCTGGAGATTTTCCACAAGGAAATGAACCTGTGGATGGAATCCCCCAAATGCTGCTGCTTCGACACGAACGGAGACGACCAATCGATGCACAACTTCCTCTTTTACTCGGGGGCGCTCAACTCGGTGGACGGTGGGGTCCAGGCCGTCAAAAACCGCAACGGGCTGGTCAACACGGTCGGGGCCATGGGCTCACTGATCTTTGAATCGCACGCTCGTATCAAAAGAGAGTTCCTAGGAGCGCTGAAGGATCCCGACAGGCCAGTCAWGGATGCGCACCACGAGCCCTTGGACATGAGCCCGGAGGACAAAGTCGACGAGGAAGGCAACAGCAAGACCTGGATGGGAGCACAGTACGGCCTTGTCGACATGGATGGGTATTTTGTGGACTATGACGGGAGCCGTTCCTTTATCATTCACCAGTACGATCGGTTCGGCMGCCACTTCGACAATTGGATRGACGGGAACCGGGAACGATACTATTACCCTTAGTAGTCGCAAACGYATTGGTGCGGGTGTCGCTGGTCAGGCCTTGGTTCCGGTTTTGCGGTGGAGGCGATCGAACAACAAGACTGGAACACCCAATGGGAAGCGATTCCGACGACGAAATCATGGGACTACTGTCGCGGGCATGTGCACTACTTATTYGTTTGGCTGTGGTTCCAATTTTATGGGCCAAAGTAAGACTAGAACATTCGATTAGACTCAAAAAGAGATTCAAATTAAGTAGCCGCTGATCTGTTGTGCTACTGGCATTATTTAATGCTGTTTTTGTGCTACGCGTAAAGTCTGCTTTTGAACTATCTAAGGCTATTGCGTTTTCGCAGTGACTGAAATTCCAGGACGGWTTCTCCGTTTCCTTCGAGCATACTCGTGGTGTCTCCATCGCTTCTTTMGTGTCTACCAGCAAAAAAGAGGCCACAACCCTTTCCCAGAATGGGTCCGTCCTTTTCGATTAGATTTGCCTCCCGTCCTAGCATTGGCTCGATCCATGGTCCCGTCAACCCTCCATGATTCCTGCGCTTTCAAGCGACGATGTACACCGCTTCGGAAAACCGAGCAACTGGATCGGCAGCACCATACCAGATGTGTTGTTTCGGTGCTTACCTAACCAGCACCTCGTCCTCGCCAACTGCTAGACAATATGGGTTCCCAGCGGCCCAGCCACCCGGTCAGACTTTGGCCATCGCATCAAATTTGCGACTCTTCGTCACTACCGCCTTGGTCCATGGTGTTCACCGAATGGGACTTTGGATTGTAGCCTCGAACGGCCACCTTCCCGACCTCTCTCAGCGTAGCGTAGATTTCAGGTTATTCAACGGTAGCACATTGATTTCTTTTTGACGAGGGACTCTTCTGCGATTGGACCAAACTTTCACCCGTGGGTAACTTTTGTGTTCGTATCAGGCGTGGGTAGTCTTCGGTTCCGGATTTCGGCACAGCAAGTGCAATTGATTTGCGACCCGAGGTGCATTGCAACTGGTATTGCTGTTTCTTGACGTTGTTGAGCGGAGAATTGGGGAGGAACGACCAAAAAGATGAGCCACATCCATCCGGGCACGTGCCACGAACGAATCCAGTTTTAGTCATGGATCTGGGTCATTGTCATTGGTGAAATCGTCGAACAACATGGACTGAAACAGTAAAATTAACGTTCGTGATGCTATCGCACCTCCCCGTGCCGTGCATGCTTTCATCCAATCTGCACACCAGCATTGTTTTTTCATCCCGTACCGTACTACGAGTTACTGTAGTTCTTTACGTACTGAACGTTTGGCGACGTGTCGGGATGGAATTTGCACGTCACGAATCATTTTTTTGGTGCTTGTTTCTTTTTCTTTTTTCTTTTTCTCTCATGTTGACATCGTTTTTCGATTTTTATGATTGCATTCTAAAGATCGAGATACGGAAGCCGGAACCACACTCAAGCAAGGAAACGCAAAACGGTGCCGCGATCGCAAAGAGCTAGCGATAATTACCAGCATCAACGCCGTACAACAAGCTACACCATGATTCGATCCTTTCTTGCCTCGTGCGCTCCTCCCGCAAACGGTTCGTTCGTTTCGTCCTCCGCCAACCGTGCTGCGGTAGGGAACGCAAACGATCGGGCCCTCGTACAYGCGCCCGCTAAGATCGCCCCCTCCTACCCGGTGTTCGTGACTCCGGCGACTCCCCCGCTGTCCGTGTCGGCCRCAAAACAGCTATCGGCAACGGTCGAAGACGTCGACCTCTTGCTCCCGAGGCAGCCCTCGGTTCACGCGGAGGTCCTTTCTTTCTTTTCGTCGCTCGATTGATCGCACGAAGGCCGGGACGCGGCGACACCGATGCCAACCGCGGTGTTTGATGCACAAGTCGGCCATGCTGCTAGCGATTTGCGGCATGCATGCACGAGACTGYAAACRCAACTATGAATAAGCCACGACCGTTGCCCATCGCAAAYACAAAACAAGCATGCGATGGCAACCCATTTGATACTGTGTCCATGTCGTGGTATGATGTACTGTATTCGGAGGAGGACGTGCCTTTCACACCGAACTAACCGATGAGCCCGGGGGTAGAGCGGCTTGTCGTAGCAGTATACTAATATGTTATACCTAATCTTCAATCACGATAAGAAAAGCACCTTGCGTTTTTGTTTCCTATGAATGTGTGTTGAATATGTCTAGCTCTATAGCTCCAATGAATTTAGGTTATGTGTGCATACTGGAAGACGAGGGGTGATCTTTCTTACTGAGGAGATTATATTGAAGAAAGCTGTTGAATGGTTGCTTCAGATTGATTTGGACACCAAGAATCCCATTGTATCTGCTCTTATTTGGTTTCTTGCCCTCGAAAAAAAAAAACGAAATTTGTTATGATGTGCTGTTAGCATCTATGCATCGAATGCATATTCCATACAAAAGTCCAGGTACAACTTGGCATTGACTCAAAAATGATATGTTTACGAGTAAAAGTCGGCATCTATATCAGATTCGTGGATGATTTTTTTGTTATTTTCTTTAGACACATGAACTTTTTTCATCGTTCGATTTTTACGTTTTTTTGTGATGCAAGCATCAGACACAGATAGATCCCAAGCTTGATCTAGTCTCTGCCTGACTTCACGTGGCTTCCAATTCTTTTTTCGTGAACATCAAGAACAGACTGTTTGGTAGTGGTACAATGAGGAGGAGAATCGGCCGCGGCATCGCCCGTTTACGCAACGAGGGCCACAACCGTCGCCACCAGCAATGCATGGATCGCCGCCCCCGCTCCGAGCACCGCCGCGTCCGACGCCACCTGGCTGGCTCCCGTCACGCCGTCGACGCTTCCCGGGGTGAAGGATTCCACGGGCACCGCAACGGGCGCATCGTCGGCGGGCACCGCGGCCACGGGAGCCGCAACGGGTGCGGCGACGGGTGCGGCGACTGGTGCCACCGTGGTGTTCACGGAAGAATCTCCGTCGTCCATCGCCGCCACCGGGGAGACGACGGGGGCCACGGTGGTCGCCTCCACCATTGGATCTACCGTGGTGGCCTCCTGGGGCACGGTGCTGGCCGAGGGGGTCGGCCCGGCAGTGGTAGGGGCGATGGTTCCGCCGACGAGGCAGCCGCAGGACTGCTCCGCGAGGATCTGGTAGAAGGTACAGGTGTTGGGGTCCAGCTCCCCGGCCAGGCCCGCCGCCTCGGCCGAGGCGCAGGTGATGTCGGGGTTCTGGGGGACAAAGGTGGCGGTTCCGTCGGTCACCGACATGCCCGAGTCGTCCCCGCAGATGTTGCAGGTGTAGTCGACGGGGGTGCACCCGCAGTTGGCCTGGACGGCGGGGGAGATCGCCGCGCAGTCGTTGGGGGTGATGCTTCCATCGATCCCGGCCATGTCCAGTTCCCCGCAGTTGACCAGGAGGCCGATCCCGGGCACCGTAAAGTTAACGTCGGGTGCCCTCATGAAAACGTCGGTTCCGTTCCCGCCGCAGACGTTGCAGGTGAAGTCGACCGGGGCGCAGTTGCAGGCCCCGGCCTGAGCCTGGATGGCACCGCACTGCAGGGGCGACAGGTTGCTGTTGAGGCCGTCTTCGTAGAGGGCGCCGCAGGAATCGACCTGGAACTGCGTGAAGGTGAGGTTGACCTCGGGAGTTAGGGGCTGGGTCGTGTTGTCCCCGCAGATGTAGCAGGGTTCGTATCCTTCTTCGGGGACGCAGTTGCAGGCGTTGGTGGCGATGGTAAAGTCCTGGATGGCCAGGCAGGCATTGGGTCCCAGTTCTCCGGCGAGTCCCTGGGCTTCGAGACCGCCGCAGGTGCCGATTTCTCCGGTCGGGGTGAGAATCTCCTCGTCGGGGCTGTTGACCTTGAAGCCGTCGGCGCAAACACCACAGGTGAAGTTGGCGGGGGCACACTCGCACTGAATGAAGGCAAAAGACGGGGCGGCCTGGCACTGGGCCGGGGACAGCTCGCCGCTCTGTCCGGACTCGAAGAATTCGCCGCACGTGGTGACAACGATGCCGTCGGTGGGATTGGAGGGAAGGGTGATCTCCGTGTCGGGACTAAAGACCGCCAGGTTCTCGTCGGACCCGCAGATGTTGCAGGTGAAGTCGGTGGGGGTGCAACCGCAGGGAATGTTCGCAAACTGACTGATGAAGGTACAGGAGTCGTCGGGGATGATCCCGTCCAATCCGTCCTGGTAGAGTTCGGCGCAGGTGACGTCGAAGGTTGGGGCGTTGGGGTTGGGGTTCGGCAGGGAAACGACAAAGCCGGGGTTGGTGATCTGCGCCTCGGGGTCCCCGCAAACGTTGCAGACACCGAACATGCCAGCGGTGATTTCGGGCTCCGCGTCGTCTTCTTCCTCGCCCGGTGGATCGGTCGCGTCGGCCACCTCGTTCTCCTCGACAACGTCCTCGACGACGTCCTCAACGGCATAAAAGGCATCGTCCTCAACGGCATCGTCCTCAACGACGTCCTCGGCCGCCAAAACGGTCACGGCCATCTGCATGCCCAGCGCGCAGTGGCTGCCCACGGCGCAGACAAAGTTGAGAACCTGTCCCGCGTCCGCCTCCGAAAAGGAGTAGGTGGTGGGATTGTCCTGGGTGCCGCCGATCTGTATGCCCCCCGATGGATCGCAGCTGCCGCTGGGGTAGATCCATACATCGTGCGTCCCCTGCGACCAGGCAAAGGTGAGGGTGTCACCGGCGCTCACCGTCATCGGAGGGTAGGCTTGTCCAATGTTTTGCGGGATGATCCAGTCGGGGGCAAAGTACTCGATGGCGTGGACCGCATCGCCGAGAAATGCTGCCGCCACGACCGCTAGGAGCGAAACGGATGGCAACGATAGTGCTTTCGCCATCTTGGTGTTTGTTGGAAGATAGGGAACAAGCAAGATTTTCTACTAGGTACAATAGTAGATGTGAGTATCGGGGGTTGCTTTTATCTTTATCAGCTACGCTGCGAGATTGCCTTAGTTCCCGCCAGATATCGATACGGGTTGTCCGCACCGTAGTTCGTACCTCCTCTCCTTACTTGACGAAAACGCTTCCGCGAAAGATTTCTTCGGCTTCGCAAGACTGACCGAGGTCCCGTACGTACAGACTAGTACCGTACTCGAACGAACCGGTTGGTGGATTTGTGAAGCTCGCACGAGTGCCAACGCAAGGCACATACGAGCAACGTACGAGCAACGGTTCGGATGAAGCATTGGTAGCCCAATCGATTGGGGCTTTCTCTTGGGAAAGATTTAAGCTTGCTGGTTTTCGTGTGCGTTAGTACTAGTAACAATTGAGATGTCAACGGAAGAAGGTTGTCGCAATCCATGTCGCAAAGAAACCAATAAGGGGACTAAAAATACTTCTCTGGTACGAAATYGTATCTCTCCCACCTTAGTTTGGAGCTGYGCACGTGTGACATCATCATCACAAGTTTTCCTTTTTTTTGTGCAATTGTTATTGCGCACCCTAAATCCAGAGATCTATGTGACATGGCGTGATTCGACCGAGGCTGCGCGATCAATATTTTTAAGCGGTAGCACAGGGTTGTCGGTCTATCCATCACCCGTTTGTGTCGGTCCTCAGCTGTCGTGCTGTTCTCCGAATGGAAATAAGAGTGTGGAATTGACTACTAGTAGAAGAAGTACTCTTGTTAACTTTGTGGAGATGGAGGTTGATAGCGAGCTGAGGTACGTCTGTTGTTGCTCATAACCTGGAAAATGTATTGTGCTCTTTCGTGTCGTATAACTAGTACGTGTTTACAATAAAGAGTGAGCTTATTCACTAGCTAGTACTGGTGATTTACTAGGCTCACATTCACTACTCCAATGCAGTCACAGCATTTACTAATAAAATTCTACTATGGATCTTTTATTACAAGTGATGGATTGTCAAATGGATACAAGTAGAAGGAAAAACGCCAATTCTTTACTCATAAAAGTATTATTCCTCCCATCATAATACTACGTCACATACTACCATTAGGGGAGGAGGATGCTTTAGTCACGACAGAAAACATGAGGAGGACAAGGAGGAGGCTCCTCGTGATGACGGAGGACGAACTACTACAACAACTTATGATGGAGGGTGAACTTCAACAGCAAAGGAAGAAACACCACTCCAATGCACATCGTGTATTTGGCACTGTTCTACTGTCCTAAGATTGGCATTCCCCCACAAAAGAAAGAAGGTAACTAACCTCTGTAGTTGTTGGGACTTCTGTATATTGTCATATGTCGAGTAGGCAATCGTCACTATGGTTTCGTGCCAGCGCTTCGTGCTAGCGCTTCGTGCTACGGGTGCGTGCCTTTGATCGCAGGGAAAACGCTCTGGCGCAACCGCTTTGCCCCTGCCCCACACCCACGCTGTCTGGCTGGCTGGCTGCCTGGCTCACCGGCTGCTGCGCTACCTCCACCAGGCGTTGACGCTTGCCGACGCGTCGATGGACCGCACGTGGTGCCACCACCTCGCGGGGATATACAGCAGGTCCCCGGGCTCCAGGACGCACTCGTACCGATCGGGGGCCTCCCCGAGGAAGAGCGGGTAGTCCCTCAAGAGGGCCTCCGGTGCGGAGGACGAATCCCCCGGGCTTTGGGGGCCGCGGTCCAGGACCTCCGGGTCGATGGGGCTCGTGTTGGCCTGCTGGCCGCCGTGGCCGGCGTAGACCGCTGCCCCCGGAGCGAACAGGAGGACGCGCTTGCGGCCCGCGTGCTGCATGAAGCAGTTGTCGAGCGGGTCGTTGTGGAGGGGCGAGACGGATCCCCTCGGCCCGAGCCACACCATGACSGAGTAGAGCCGGCCCAGCCCGACGGAAAGGCCCCCCTCCGCTGGGTCTCCGGCGCGATKCTCGCCCCCGCCGCAAAAGGCCGGGACCATGACGTCGGGGTACAGGCCGGGCAGCAGGTCGTTCTGGGCCATGTAGACGAGCTCTTCCGGTGGGACTTCCGGCGGAAGTGTGCCGCTGCCAYCGGCGGATTCTCCCGGCAGGKAYCCCACCGATCCGTGGCGCTCCCGGAAGAGCTCCAGGAATTGCAGGTAGGCCGAGAAGGGGATCTCGGCGCGCTGGAAAGACGGATCCCCCCCGCCTTCGGGACCGGCCGCGCCGCCGTASGATCCACCGATCTCGACCGCTACCATGGGATCTYCRCCGCCCTGCTGGTGTCGGTCGGAAACCTCCTTCCAGTAGGAAAGGGACGACCAGCGCTCGGTGGCTTGCGTGTGCGCCACGGCTCCYCGCACCACCAGCGGCGTTTGGGTTTCGTGGTAGGGCCGGACGGCCGCGGCCAGCTCTTCCTCCAGCCGGCGCTTGGCTTCGTCCCCGGTGGAAGAGGGATCGGTGCGGAGGCCGATCGTGGCCTCGTCCACCGGAAGCGTCGCAATGGTGGCGATCGAGCGGTGGAAGGGCCGGAAAACAGCCACAGCCGCCGCCCGCAGCACCGGCATCGCCATCTTCATCGTCATTTGCATCTGCATCTGCATCGGCATCGACAATGGCATCGACCTGGTTATCGTCCACCTCGTCCCCACCACCATGGCTTGTTCTCGGTGGGATGGGATCGGACGCCTCGGGATCGGCAAGAGGGATCCTTCGACAGAACGAGCGGTGCGTTCCGGGCTTTAGGTCGCTGGGAAAGTTGGGTTCTCGAGATCGGAAACCTTGGTGTGTTTGCGAATCGATCACGTGATGCCTTGGCAACCAAGGAGTGTTGAGGACGATGATGTTTCTCGCAGAACGAACAGAACGATCCCAGGTCGTGTCGTGTTTTACTCGTGATTCACTTAGAAGTGTACCTATGTACGTTACGAGAACATGGGGGTATGAGTATGAATCGTATGCTCGTGATTAGAAGTACAAAGTACGGTACAATCAAGTTACATACGAATAACACTCGTCACGTTTTTGTCATTTTATTTGCTTCACTGCACTTTCTCCTGCCGTAGGAAGGAAAAAAAGAATCGAACCACAACGAAGCAGCTAAAACAAAACAAGACGAAACAAGACGAAAGCACCTACTCTCATGACGAGGACGAGGAGGACGACCCGCATCTTCGGGGCACTAGGGGCGCTTCTGCCGGTGCTCCCTCTGTACGCAATCGCGATTGCATCCGCGGCCACATCGTCCACCGCCGCCTCTTCCTCGCTGCCCGGGGACCATGGGGACGCAAGGGACGTCCTCGGCAGGGCGAGGCGCCTCGAGCCCCCGCCCGCCGAGTCCGTCCTCTACGGCGACACGGAGGGCGCCGAGTGGTGGGCGGAGCACGACGACCTCCTCCGCGCGGCCTGGGACCGGTGGGAGCGGGAGCAACAAAGCGTCCGGGCCGCCGTCGGGGAAGGCTCCTTCCCGGAGGCCCGCCGCTTGGTCGATCCGGTCCTGGTGGTGGGCGTGGACCGCGCCACGAAGGATCCGACCGCCGCGAACGAGGCAGCCGCGGTGGCCGGCTGGGAGGCCATCGAAACGGGGGATGGGAACGACCGGGTCTTTGTGTACCCCTCGTTCCTTGATGCCGGGGGGGTYCGCCTCCTCCGGGAACGCCTCGACGCACTGTCCGGGAGCGGGATCCCCACCCGGAGGCCCAACGCCATGAACCGCAACGGCCTCCTCCTCGATACGGGCATCCCGGGCGGGGCCTCCGGGGACGGGGAGCTCCACGCCTTTCTGGCGGAGCTGGCGGGAAGCTTTGCGCGACCGCTGGGCCGGGCCCTCTTTCCGTCCTTTTGCGGAAACCGGGCGGACGATGCCTCGTACTACGCCTTCACCATTCGGTACGGAACGGGGYATGGGACCGACCGGGAAAGGGCGGCGGACCGTCCCTGCGACACGGAGCTGAAGGAACACTCCGACGCRTCCCTGTACACACTCAACGTCAACCTCAACCTGCCGGACGAGGAATACTCGGGATCCTCCCTCTATTTCGTGGCACCGGAAACACACAGCGCAACACCAAACGCAACCTCCACTGTATCCGCCCGCAAGCAGAGGACCGTGGCCGTTCCGATGGAACCGGGAACGGCCGTCCTGCACCGCGGCGCCTCCCGGCACGGGGCCCTCCCCCTCGAGGGGGGGAGCCGGTACAACCTGGTGGTCTGGCTCTACGGCGGTGGCGACGCCGGYGACCACGACGAGGGATACGTCCGCGTCGCGCCCTACCGGGAAGGGGAGCGGCTCCCGGTGCGGGAGCGGTGGTCCCTCGAACCACCGCGAGGACAAGCGCAAGCTCAAACACCGGCGCCGTGGCGGCCCGGGCAAAAGGAGAACTAGCCGGGGGCGGGGCTAGGGGYGTGGCCGTCGAAGGATTCGGCGCAAGGCGGGGTGACCTGTTCTTTCGGCGACGGTGTCAACGAGACCAGCACGAATCGAATGGTGGCAGCCGCCGCGCAAGGCATCCGGCCCGGGAACGGGGCAAAACATCGCTCTCTCTCCCCTGCACGGGCCAAACGAGGACAAAACTAATGCGTGTCTGGCGTATCCGATGACAATCTGCTCGAAAGCATCGACTGCTACAACAGCAAAGATGGCGGCATCCAGCGCTTCAATCGTATTCAAAAAAAGAGGACAGATTGGGGCAGCAATCAAAAACAGCAAGTGACGAGCGTACAAGTAGCATCGGGATGAAAATGACAAACGGAAGACGTACTCATTTTCTTGTTGATCGAGATCAAAAGCGATCCATCATTCCAAAAACGAGAGTTGTTGGAGTCAAAGGCTATCGCATCCACTACCGTATGAAGACATCATCGTAAACGAATCAAAGTGGAGACCATGGAGGTTTAATTAAATCTCATTTGTCACATACTACTGTATACTGTAATGCTGTTCTAAAACAAAATGAAAACGAGTTTCTGTGCTTTTCTGAAGTCATGTCGGGAAGAATCGGGAAGAAATTCCAAAGCATACTATCAATGAATTTGAGGCTAGCCGTGTGAAGCAGAAGCCCTCCTGTATTGTTCTGTATGGTACCAGGTATTCGGTACTGTACTACATTGTATTGTACTCCTACCTCCGTGGTATGGTAAGTACGATATACACGTACCAATACAACGTCCCTTGACGTATGAACTAATAACTAATAGTATGAAGTATGTACGGCACTCACTCACTAGCTACTCGTGATTCATGTGCCTTACAGGCCTGGTCAACAAACAAATCGCTGATGACGAAGAAACTGATGGGGTCCCTGTTCCCGATGCGTCTCCCACAACTCGTCGGTGGTGGAAGGTCCATGGCCATCGTCTCCGACATTGCACTCCAAGCGAAAAAGAAATAATAGAAGCAATGACCACCATGAGAAGGTCATTTGTGATAACGAGACGTCGACGATGGYGGCAAACGGACCCAATGACTACCACTGGACACGCCGCTGTTCGCGGAATATCCACTAGCAGCGGTTGCCATAACAATATCTTCCAACATCTTCCCACCTCTTCCACGGCYTACCATCGCAACAACAACAGAGATCCATTYCCWTCTCGACGACACCAAAACCGTAGTCGTATATATGGCTCGAAATCTCACATGTCTACTTCCACGGTAGCTTCCGTGTCTTGCTGGGTCAAAGACGTCGTGAGGACGAAGAGCCTCAATCCACCGAATCCAATTCTCCAATCCCTGCCATCCGCCGAAGCCGTACTTGACTCTATGCCGATGGATCCTCGAACCGATTGCAAAGAGCCGACAAAACGTGATGCACCAATCCCACTCCTGCCCAGATTCTCGGTGCTCCAACCCCATCATCTGGAAAAGGCAGCGGAAGAAATCCGTCGGCAATACGACGTCGAATTGGCACAGCTCGAGGTCCGCCTGACGTCGGTGCAAGGGGAGGACGGRTCGGRTGGCGGGAAAMGARCAGCTCGGAACCGATCCGCTCTCTCGGCCYTGCTGCTGGACATGGATCGCCTGACGGCCCCGATCGCACACCTCTCGGCCGTTTCCAATCTGTACGCGACGCTGGCGGCACCGCCCGATCGCATCGATGACTGGAGCCGTGCCTCCGATGTTGCCGACTCCTCTACGACCCGCCGGTTTCTCGAACAACTGTACCGATCCGGAATTGTTTACAAGGCGCTCGTCTCGGCCCTCGACGAAACCGGGACCGGCACGAAATCTCCTTCCGTCTTGGTTCCCTTTCACAAGCGCGGAGCGCACACGGGCACGGGTACTCACGGTCCCTCCGGCGACAGCGACAGTGACAGCGACAACGAACCATACCTGGAGGACGCGGAGCGCTTCCAGCAGATACAGGACGAGCTTTGCGTCTTGAACGAGCGCCTGGGAAACATTGCCATACCTGGAGGACGCGGAGCGCTTCCAGCAGATACAGGACGAGCTTTGCGTCTTGAACGAGCGCCTGGGAAACATTGCCAGCTACGAGCGAGCCAGCAAGGCCATGCGGCTCCAGTGCATGTCGGACATGTACAACTGCATAGGATTGACACGGATGCAAGCGGAATCCCTAACCCAGAATGCTTCCGTCTGGGAACTGGCACGACTCCAGCACAACCACATGGTCGCCTCGCCACACGACGAGCTGACCTCGAAACTCTTCCCGGAGATTGCTCTCTTCCTGGAGCCCTTCTTGCCTACCAAGACCAAGCTGGACCTAGAGGGGGTGGGCGCCTTTTTGGAGAGCAAGTCCGAGGTCGCAAACAAATACTCGAGTCAGATCAGTGTCGAGGCGCAAAAGGCGTCCATGAAAGCTAGGTTTGACTTCAAGCAGCGGATGCGGTTGCACGGAGTCATGGAGGGCCTGATCGACTTTTGCGACGGTATTCTGGGCATCTCCGTCGTCGAAGACGACACGGCKTTTGGAGCGGAAGCCGGGTGGAGCAAAAACGTTCGCCTCTTGCACATCTACCAAAAAMATGCAACGGGTTCTACCGCGGAGGGAGAAGAAACAGCGAACAGCGATGACAACAAGGGTCGCTATCTCGGAACGATCTACTTTGATCCCTTTGCCGATTCGTATTGGCGGACGGAGGACGCAAAAGAGCTGGTTACGACCAAGCTTTTTAGCGAACAATTGACAGGCCAGACGATTGCTCCGGTGGCCATCATGGCGTTGAAGATCACGCCCATCTGGGACGATACCCCGGTCCCGATGACCTGGACGGACACCAGGGACTTTTTGTACCAGTTCGGAACCGCCCTCCAGTTGATTCTGACGCAGGACTGCCGCAGAAACAACCACCATACGCATACCAATGACGTCATGATTGACCCCGTTCCCATAGATACATCCGAGTTTCTAGGTCACGTAAGTAGAATGAGTTGTGCTCTGCTGCGWTGAGTCAAGCTTAGTTAGCGAATGCTCTCTAGTGTTCCTTTATGATGCTTGGTAGCTATGATTTACATTACAGTCAACAGGGTTTTGGAAGGTGACGATACATTTCATCGATGCAAACATTCTAATCCTTTGATTGTTTTGCTCGCCTGCCCATACGCGAATGCAGTTTATGGAGATGTGGATCCAAAACGATGGGTTTTTGAACCGATTGGCCCAACTGTCACAGGATGATTTGCTGCTCGAAGACGACACGCTGAAAGTCTTACGAAAGGATATCAAAAAGGAAAAAGCCCTCGAGATTATGAACACCATGTTCTTGTCGCGTCTCCAATTCACAGTCTTCGACGGTTTCGACCCGAGGGGCGACGAAACACTTGTCGCGCTTCAGGAACGCTTAGCTACGCAATACCTGCCAAAGAGCAACCTGCCGGACCCAAGCGATCTCTCGCCCCTGCTTGCCATCTTTCAACAGAGTGGTTTGGACCAAACCATGTCTGCATACGGGACGCTATGGTCGGAGGTTCTGGCTGCCACTGTGTACGAAAAATTCCAGAACACGGATCTCCGGGATCGAAAGGAAGTCGAACGACTGGGAACAGGCATTCGCGACCTCTTTCTCTGCGGCAGCACTGAAGACAGCACTCAGCATCTATCGAAGAAGGATTTCGAACAGTTGTGTGGGATGAAAGAAKTGTCGGGAGAATGTCTGAAACGAGTGTTTGGTTTCGATACGAAAGACGACCAAGAGCAGGATGTGCCGTAGGCCTTACGGAAGAGGCATAATAGTTGATGTTGACATAAAAAAGTTCAATCCAAGCCTAAACAAATAATTCCTCATAGTACTCTTWCKTAGCCTAGTCTTCTTGTGTGATGACGCAATACAACGACTAGAATGTGACCTTGGCTTGCKTSGAAAGCTCAGGAACATCTTTTTCGAAAGATAAAAATATCAATATGACTTGTCTGACTTCCCTTTATATCGGAATGTTTCCAATCGGTTCTCTCTCTTCAGTATTTTGTCAAGCGTGTGCACATATCAAGTAAGTTTTTCAAATGGCCATTTAAATACCCTTTTAATTCAGAAAATCTTCGTTATAGTATTTAATATATGCCTATTTATTGTAGAACCGATACCACTGAAGAGGAAGGATAGCAATAATACAATCAAAAACACACTAGGATAGTTCTCTTCCTTGCATTCTTATAACATCAAGTAATTACTTACGATACGACTCAATCGTGACGTGTGAATCATTGCTATCAGCAGAAAATGCTTCCAGATCGATTGTTCATAGAACTTCTAGTTTTAAATCCTGATCTATCCTGATAAATAATACGAATACCAACAGCTACACAATTAATGGTGGAGAAAGATGATTATGTTCTTTACGAATACCAACAGCTATACAGTTAATGGTAGAGAAAGATGATTATGTTCTTACCGTGTGAAGAGGAATCAGGAATCATCTCATCATTTGTGATTTAGGCTCACACCACCATACGAAAAACTGAGCATTTTTTACATCATATTTTTTCATCATTTGTCTTTGATACGAAACATGATGGTTGCAGAATTGAGTTACGATACAATCTCGACTGTTATCAACAGCTGGGAACTATTGAGGCGAAAGGAAAATTTTGCGGAAATAGCAGGAATTGGCTTATTCGTCAGGTAAGTTTTTAAAGGTTGGGGGGGTCAAGAATAGCTCCGAATAGATGTCGTTTATTTTTGAAGGCTTCCTTTCCTCATCGTTTTGTGCCGTTTTTCATTTTTCAATAAAAACGATGGTAACAACACACCCTAGATTCTTCTCCGTGATACCCGACGCCAAGTTCCTMTTTTGCGTTAACGACAGGGAACAGATAGCGATGACCAACGAGGAATTCTTTCAAAGCAACAGATTCATGRCACAAGCCAAGGAATGCATCAAAGCCCTTGACTCTGTCGTCGATATGCTCGGACCCGACCTGGAGATGCTTGCTGAAATATTTCATGAGGAGGGCGTCACACTTCGTAAAAAATATGGAGTCGAGCCCGAACATCTGCCAGTCATGAGAGAAGCCCTAATGGAAACACTGAAAAGCATTCTCGGATCGGAAGCGTTCAATGATCGGACAATGAAATGTTGGCTTGAAGTATACGGGGAGTTTACGAAGGACGTGGTGGCGGGGATGGVAAAAACCTTCGTTTGACCGTTTGCTTCATTATTCACTGTCCGAAGCCAGCTAGCTTGACGGCTCGTAGATCAAACAGCACTGAAAAATGGGGAAGGCGATGGCAARGCATAAAAATAATTGTATTTGCATCGCACGAATATCAAACACACTATCAGTCGCATCTACGACATGTAAAATATAAAACCTTTGTTTTCGTTACAATTTCAATAAACTGATGCTGCACCGTACAAACGCCGTAAATGCGTGCGTATGTCTGCAAGCAATCCTAAACAGGTATAATTTGAATAGAATTGCGAGTATCACTAGCATTTGTTCATTCATCGTGCCGATAGAAATCGTAGTGCTGCATCAATCCCTTCCCCAGCGGGGAATCGATCGGGCACAATTTCGGATGTAGAATCGCGTGGATCCTGGCCATGTAAGTGGGTGTATAAATGCGATGCAGCGAAAAACTGTAGGCCGCGACGGCGTCTAGCTCGTGCTTCGGTCCCACGGTGGAAGCATTCGCGTCCGTGTTGGCATTGACATTGTTCGGAAGGTTCTTTCCCAGGTCCATCAACGGCAAGGACTGAAGCTCCCATCCCTTGGCCATTCGCTCATTATACGAACCTCTCTTGGATGCAGTAGCAMGCATTAGGTACAGTGAGGCCGGATCGGTGTYGTGGAACCGCTGCTCCCCCCTTGAATTGCGGGTGTCCGTGTCGTTGCCTTTGATCTTTAAGAATTGTTGGATGCAATAGCTGATATGCAAGTCTTCGCTAGCCTTGTTCAGGCCGSCAAGGCAGTGACTCCAGATGCTTGCACTGGTGMGGTTGCYATTTCTGTTTAGACCGACGTATCTTTTCAATACCGCTCGGTTTAGGACGTACCCCGGACCCCCCGCTAACAYGGACCTAGTTGGTAGGTACGAGCCAAAGAACCGTGGCGTGACTTCCATGCTATTGCTGCGGCTCTCGAGCGCGGAGAGATCCTCCAGGTAGGCCCGGAGGTTGTCCACGATAAGATAGACATCGTCCCCCGAAATGTAGAAATAATCGTAGTCGCCAAGGTGGTGATCRTGGACGTGCTTCCACATATGCCGGACTTTTTGCCACAAGTTCTGGTAGGCCTCCTCGGTGGGTGGCTGCGCTCCGAGCCATGCAGGTGAATCTTGGTACGGTGGGCCATTTGAATAATCTACCAACGGGAGCTGGTAGATACCAAGCGAGGGAAGCGTTTCGTTGGAAAAGGCCAAAAAGCCGTCACAGTCCTTTCCCCAGATCAAGGCCTGGGACCGGACCAGGTGTCTCATTTTAGAGTAGGTATATACCATGCAGAGCAAGCGCGGCTTTCGAGTGTGTTGGCTGGCATTCGTATGAARTCGAGTAGATTGCTTTTCAGAGGGTTGAAGCACGCGCATTTTTTCGACCAGCAGCTTGTAACCAGCATCTTGCTCCATTCCCCGCCCCGGTCCCGCCCCGCAAACGAGTTCCGATGAGAGGATGTCGTGTTCATAGTAAAAAATACCCTTGTGATCAGCGCCATTGAGCCGTGGTTGTTGATTCTGTTCCGATTGCTGAAGTGGTTGCTGCGTGGAGGGATAGTGCTCCAACAAATCCCATAGCTGGCGGTCCCCATTCGTGTGGAAATTGCTATCGAGGAAGGATTTCACACTTCGCTTCAATGACGTGGGATCTGTTGTCGCTGTCGATGTCGTCGTTGTTTGGGATGTTGGTTCCTTGGGATTGTATTGGTTGGGCATTGTGTCAATTTCTGTTAAATTTTTGCCTTTTGTTGAGGGTATTGATTTGTAGTAGTGAGGTGAGTAGTGGCTTTGGTTTTGGCTTGTGGGCTGGTGATCGCTGCCCTTGGTCTCGTTCGCGAACGGATATTTTTTCGTGGCTGCAGCTCTTGTTAGCATAACGTCCATATCCATGTCCGAAGGGACATAGAACACTCCGAATGAGGTCTTAATAGCATTCAGAGCCAGAAATCCAAAAAGTATTAAGAGGATCAAGYATTGCTTTCGCTTGGGCAAGGTGCTGTGTGCACCGATATTGCGTATGCTGTTCGCTTCATGAGCTCTTGTATTCCTCGGTGCATTCCACATAGGAACTGTTGTCGATTTTGCGTTAGTTTAATTTGATACCTTAYGTAGAAATCAGAGAGAGAAAGGTTACAACGAAACACTATGACCAAGCATATCCCCAAAGGGGATCTCATTTGAGCCGGTTCTTGAGCACTTCTAATGGCCTCATAAACACTGTTTTGATCATCTTCAAAGCAATCGATGAAGCGACCGATTCAATGAAAAACTCGGAATTCCCCCCCCCCCCTCGGTACATAGAATTCCAACCGCGTTACTAAATCTACGTACTACAAAATGTATTTATGTAGGATCCCTACGGCGTTACTAAATCTACCTATGAAACGTACGTATGTAGAAGTAGTACTGTAGTACTGAATCTACATATGTACGTATATGATTAGTACGAATGGTTCCTTTCTTGTATGATTGTATGATTTGAGCTGCACTGTTTGTTTTGCTGGGCCCTCAGTTAGAATTTTCAAAAAAATTAAATAGTTTCCCGTACACCCCGCGAAACAAGGAGAAACAAAGAGAATAATTCTCTTTGTTAGAAAGGGCAATATTCTCATTGTTTCTCGTTGTTGTAATAAAGAGAAACTAAGAGAACATTGCCTCTCCTTGTTTCTCTTTGTTTCACATTGTTTAAATAAGGAGAAACAACGAGAATATTGCCTGGGTTATTTTCTCATTGTTTCTCTTTGTTTAAGCAGAGTAAATTAAACCTGGGCACTATTCTCTGTATTTTTAC